AGGACCAGGCTCTGCCAGGATCAGAAGACCCACAGAGTCTCATCATCTTTGCAAAGTCATCCCCTTTTTTGCTTTGTGTTGAGTCCGGGGAAGGCAGATGTGTGGCTCAGAGTCTGGGAAGGTCTATGCAGGGAACAATATTGCCACTGTTCTAGGTTCAGGCTGGGAGGTTCTGCCCTAGGCGATGAGGAATGCGCTGAGAGCTCTCAACATGTTAGAAGAAACCCAAAAGTCTGATGTCCTGGAAAATGGTCCTCTTTAGTCACTGAGTGAATTCCAAGGTTATACTAGGTCTGAGCAGTGACACAAGTTGGGGTAGGATTGTCCAGCAACATTGCTGTTTTCTTCTCAAGCAGCCACACTCTCAGGAGCCCCATTTTCTTTAAAGGCCTTCTGAGGCCATAACGGTTTTTGAGGACATTTTAAGGAGCGGGAGCACAGTCTTACTATTTACAATTATAGGGATTATGACTGCGATATCTTTATTTTTATGACAGTTGTTCGTTATGCCCCTGATTTATTTGATACCGGGCTTCTGTTCAAGAACACAGCCTCCAATTAAATGTGGTAACTGTGGCAAAAATATGATTCTCCTCCAAGTGACCCTCTTTGGGGCCGGTTCCAAAAACTCATTATGGTGAAAAGTGAGGGCAGCTTCATTGCATTCATGAACATTCCTCCTGTGGTCACTTGTTTTTCCCATATGAGGAATCAGAGGGCAGTAAGGCTATGGGTTGGGTCCCCCAAAAAAGTGGAGGTGAGAGGAAAGAACCGCCTCCAAGAACTAAGCATGTCATCACTTAAAACCAGACCTTAGAGACCAAACTCCCAATAACTAAAGAATATATTCTCTTTTGTGATAGGAAGGATTTACAGCCCAGAGAAAAGAGGAAGCCTGGCCAGACCTGGCCACTGAGGCCTGGCTGCCACACTCTGCTCTTTCCACCCTAACTTTCCTAGGATGCCACAAGCTCACATGGCTCCCATCCTGTCCTGCCCTGACTTCAAGGAGATAACTCATGACTCCCTTCTTGCATGGCTGATCTTTTGTGGACCCTTTGGAGATTAACAAAACAAACAAACGGAGAATCAGACGTTGTTTTAAGAGATGGAGGGTCTGTTAGAAGCAGACGCTCATCAACATCTTGAGTTATATGAAACTTGTTTTACTTAAATGAGGAATTTACAGTGACGTCTGAAGGCAACCTCTGAAACTGGAGACCAGAACTGTGGTCCTAAATGTGCCACTTCATCTGCCATGTGGGTGCAGCTGGGAAATCCCACTCCCCTACTCTCTCTCTCAAGTATTACACTTGGGATCATGGCTGCCATCAAGGTCCCCCATCACGGGGTAACTGATGAGGAAACTCTTCCCCTGGGAAAACATAAACCAGGGCATCAAATAGGCATAAAACAGGATGCCAACAACAAACCAAAGTATGATTGCACCAAGTCCAACTTGGAGAACCAATGAGTTTATTGGTTTACTTACAGAGCATAGGTAATGGATTACTCATAGGAGTCATCACAAAGTATCACGCCAGCATGGATGAAGACTTCCCCATAGCTGCAGAGCTGCAGTCCCCTTCAGTTAACCTTTGACAGTCTATGTACTCTCAAGACCACAAGGCCATGGGGCAGTTAGCATAGAATTACATACAGGTTGCTTGGAGGCTCAGTAAGGAACAGCTGTAACCTTGGATAAGGGTCCAAATCCTACTCCTTCTTTCTATGAGGGACTATCAACAATAAATAAGCCAGACCTCAGGGTCACAGATGTTCCAGTGTAGATGATGGTTGTGATGCTCAGAGGCTATAGCATTCTACAATGGCAGCCCAACCTGAGATCCCTTTCTCCTAGTGCTTCGAGTCAAGTGAGATTATCTGTATGGAGGTTCTCCGAGAACTAGACATCTGTGGGCTTCCACCGTCCTCTGGATGATCTTAGCCATAAAAATCCCAACTGTAGCTTCTTCACTGAAGGCCGTTCATGCATCCCAAGAATGTGAACCAAGACTTCTCATCTTCCCTACTTGGGCCCAGCATAGTGGACAGGCAGTGGCAAAAGGGACACCCTTAAACTGAATCATCTTTTACTGATGTTAGGGAGTGCTTGAACTTGGCAGGACACGTGTTAACATGGCAGATCATTCAGACCTCAACACTGAGCAAGGTCACAGAGGCCTTGCCTTTGCTCCAGATCCAGAAGCTGTGAAGACCTTGTTTGTACACTTTGCGTTTCTTAAGTAATGCCAGTTTCAGCATATTTAGAAATCTTTGAATATTTATTCTAATAAAGCGTTCCAAAAGTAGCTTTGGAATATGTGTAGACAATGAGGAGAAAAGAGAAAAAGACCAAGGGATCATGTCCCTGAGCTCTGGAACGCTTTCAGTCCCCAGTTAATCATTGATGCCCCCAGTGGCCTGCTGCGGGGGGCCAGCGTGCACGAGGCTGGAATGCCTGGAAGCCTCAGGTACTGTTAATGATTTATTCCCTGTGTTTGCAGGGCTGAGTCTCTTTGCTCTGAAGCTGACAGCAAGCCTGGGATCATGTTCTGGAGAGTGGGCTAGCCCTGCCTAACAGAGTTCAGAAGCTGATAAACATGGTTTGGAATTCTCGTATGACCAGTCCCACAAGGGCTTCCTTACTTGTTCTCTGAAAACATGAGGAGTCTGTTTCAATGGGATACTTGCTGTCTGATGTCTCTTCACATGGTGTTTGTGACAAAATTAAAGCCATATGTTGACAAGATTTTGTATGGGATCATGATGTGGGCCATCCTCAAACACAAGTGATGGCTAGTTGTTTAGACCTTCTATTTCAAAGAGTGAATATGTCCATTAGAGAATACAGGAATGAAAGGAGCACATTTATATTTTCTATTGTTTAGCCAAGACTAAATGTGTGACATTTACAGAAATATCACAAGTGGACAGTTAAAAAGAAAATAAAATGTACCATAATCATTCTTACCCAGAGACACACACTTGTCACACTGGCCTTTTTAGGATAGCTCGGTACCAGATCTCTGCCAGATCTAGCAATAGTTATGAGTGTGTAACAGTGGTGAGGGTTGATATAGCCACGTGGATGTGGTCACCTTTACCCCATCAACCTAAGGTGGGAAATAGTTGTTGTGATGGCCTCAGGCATTGGTGACATGTTTTGGAGGAGACAACTTAAGAAATGAAACATTTCCTCAGGGATAATCCATCTCTGTCATGAGTGTAATTTAGATTTTTATAGGAAGGAGCCTTTTAGTTTGTTTATGGGAATTACAAATAAGATAAATAATACTGACTTGGGGTTTGATTTTTTTTTTCTTTTCCATTGAAGCCTGACTCTATATTAGCAGGGCTGGAAAGGCAGGTCATATAAGATGTATAAACTGCTGCTGAAGGGATGATTATATGAATTAATCAAAGAAAGATTGTTGGCTTTGGGTTTTCTAAACTGGAGTCAAAGCTTCCTTTCCTAGGAACAGAAATTCATGTCCTAGATACTCAGGTTTGGGTCTGAAGATGGTAGGACCAGAAGCACTAAGGAAAGTTACAGATACAGATACAGATACAGATACAGATACAGATACAGATACAGATACAGATACAGATACAGATACAGATA